TGGGACCGCCGGACGGCGTCGTTGGACCAATGGTTGGACACTCAAGTCACTGACCCAGCCATAAAACACGCTATCCTATACCTCCTTCAAGGGGTTTGTGATCCGTCCCTCCCTTGCAGTCGGTTGGTTCCGGTTCGTCTTTGCCGCGCTTTCCTCTCCCAACAATGCATCGGCTACCAAGGTTTATTGGAAGGCCGGCTGTCTGTTCAGTGGACGCCTCTGCAGGAACAGTACCTTCAGTCACGAGGGAGCCAACGCTCTCCGACCCTGTGGGTCTCTCGCCTGTCGCATCAGCTGATCTTGCTTGGATTTCATATGTGGGAACATCGGAACTCGGTGCAACATTTGGAGGACAACGTACAGCTACGCGAATGTAGCCGATTGGTGAACGACGGTATACACTCTCAGTTTGATATGGGCCCAACCGACCTCCCTAAGGTAGTTCAACGCATGCTCGCTGTGAAACGCCGAACTGTGTTGAACAAGCCGTTGGTCAATAGGGAAGAGTGGCTGAAGCTGGTCAGAATGGAACGCACGGCCTATCGCCGCGCTCTGGCGCCCCAACGCCGTATCCTTCACGGCTTCTTCCATCCGGCCCAGGCCCCCTGAAACCATTTCGAGGAATCAACGCCCCGAAATCACCCCGCCTTGTCGCGGGTAGAGTTGGGATCCCCTCGATCCTGACTAGAGCAACTTCTGTCCACCAGATGTCTCCAATGGTTCAAACTAGCTGTTGACTCGTCGCTTCACGGTACTTGACCTTTACAGCCGCTTATTCCACCGGCAATCGTATACGCTAGATAGCATTTAATCGATTAATGTTTCAGTTATTATTATTATCTACGACAATTCTGTGTTGGATGCAGTACTTTGGGACATCGTGTATTATTCCCTACTGCATTGTACACAACATTGATATCACACTTATATAGGGTCATTCCCTTTGTTTGTGGATGTAGATTGTCCCACAGACTTGCATCCGGCATACTTGCGTCGAATCCCGACATTACGATCAAAGTCCGATCGTACGTGTCAAAAACTTCGAAAACTTTGTACTTGAATAGTTTCTTTTTGGAACGTAAAAACTCATATTTCATCATATCCCAACACACTCCTGCCATTGTGACAATCACCATTGGCAGCAATGGGACATGCTCTCATTCACTGTTTATTTTTGTTTTGTATTTTCATTTTGAACATATACATACTTGTCTGACCTAGTCCTGTGGACCAAGAATCAGATCCCTGAACTTGCAAAACTTCTCACCTTGCAATGGCTTAGTCATGAAATCCGCAATCATATCGTCAGTTGGACAGTATTCGATCTTAACATTTCCTTTCTCAACTTGATCTGTGATAAAGAAATAACGAATATTGATAGCTCGGCTTCTTTTGCCCGCGCTCTTGCGACCATTCTCTTCCAGTAGAATCGCGCTTTTGTTATCCTGATACAAGATATTCTTCTCGATCGGATACCCTTGCCACTCCATGAACAACTTCGTCCATAGTATCATTGTGACAACATTGTCAACAGCAATCAGTTCCGCTTCCGTACTGCTTCTGCTGTTTAGCTTTTGTTTCTTCGACATCACTTGAGCTGCATCTCCTCCAAAGGACAGAGTGCCGCCAGTATGGCTCTTGAAATCTGGATGCACCGCAAATGATGCGTCGATCATCCATTTCATGAATCAGAGTGATTCTGCCGAAAGTGTCAGGTGATACAACAACGTACAAAACAAATATTGCATCATGCAAACACACTTCTTCCAATCAGACTCTGTAGCTTCTTGAACTCTCGAGGCAAGAATAGTAATTGTTGGATGGATATCCCAACTAGCTCTCTTAGAGACATAAAGTCCCCTTGCAACAGTAGCATGAAAGATCTGACGGTACTCAGCACTGAGTAACTTCCCTTTACCAGCTTCCAGTAAATCGTTACCAGCTAATGTTTCCTGCTTTGAATCCTTGTTGAACTTGACAGGAAAATCTTCCATCATGTTGTTGACATAGTCATCCATGCGGATTTTGAGTTTTCATTTCACCGAGACATCCAAAGTCATTCCAAGATATCTGTGTATTTTTCCTCTGATGATTTTACATGCCTGGATCGAACCTATCTCATGTGCAACCATTCAGCAAATTCGTCATTTACTTTCGGATCCATGTGACTTGACATAAGATTGTCAACATGAAATCTGATAGTTTGCTGTTTTTCATTAACAACTTTGTTATCAACACACAGGTCATACAGATTGAAAACAAATCCCTTTGCTTCCAAATCACTCCGAAATTTATTATGGAATAGGAGGCTTGATTGCAACATCCCATAAATAGCACATAATACCCGCACATAGATTACTCGCTTTCCGTTCTCTAATACAACGTATTCGCAATACTCTGGGGCCATGTCAATCAATATCTGGACCATCATGCCAGTGATTTTCATGTAGACGCGATCTTCTCCTTCCATAGCATCGGGCATATAAGTTTGAATGAAAGCGTTAGGCAAGTCCAGCGTCATTACATCTCTACCTTCGTGTGCATCAATAACACAAGTAGTGGTGATTGCTTCTTGTGAAGCAGTTGGACTTGCAGTGTCCTCTTGCGATAACCATTCATGAGTTCCATCGCCTCGGAATACTAGGCGACCTTTAATTGTCTTTTCCAATTGCTTCTCCGTGAGTAACATCATCGCTGATTGTGCCTTCTTTTGCTCAGACGCGGTCATGTCTTTGACAAATTTGGGAGTGAAATAATCTCTCAGGAGCATTTGTCTCAATTCCTTATCCACAGCATCCTTTCCATCATCACCAAACTTCTTTAGTCCTTGGTTGATGTAATACTGTTGAATGAAGTTCAGACCTTCGTCAGTATCAAACTTGGCCTTGATCTGCATCATGCAACGAGCGATCAGAATAGCGTCGTGCTCTTCATAATCAGCTTTCATCTCATTCCCAATCTGTTGGAAACATAGATTGTGCTGTGCTTCAAGGATAGCTTTACTGTCTTTAGTACTGCGACTTCCCTCTTTGGTACAAATACCAGATTTTAACTTGTTCTTCAACGGTTTCAATTCTCTTTCTCGATGCTTGCGTCTTGTCGCAACTCGATTCTTGTTCTTATTGGCAGAACTGCCACTCCTGCTTGAAGGCCATTCTCTTGGTTTCTTTGGAACTTGAGAAAGGTTCAGCCCAGACATTGCAGCTTGTGCATATGTGTAACCAGTTCGAGTGACTTTTGCTACTTGAGGCATTTCAGCTCAAATACGATCTCTTCTTCTGGCGGCTCTTGTAGATCCTCCAGATCAGTAACGAGCTCCCAATATCATCGGTTCCTCTATCGACATTTTCTTGATGGTGATCCAAATCGGCCACATTAGGTTCTTCCTCTTTGTCGCCTTCATCACCCGAATCGTCGTCTGATTCATAGTCATCATCTCCACAGAATCTGACAGTGAGTTCTGGCATATCATCGACATCATTGTCTGCATCTGCCAAGAGCTCTTCTCTTTTGGAGTCATCGATATCATCGAATTGTCCACGTAGATTGAAATCACATTCATCTTCATCTTCATATCATTGAATTGTCCACGTAGGTTGAAATCACGTTCATCTTCATCTTCAGGTTCATAGTCCTGATCAAAGCCTTCTTCTAAGTAACCTTGTTCTGTGTCATCCACTCCTGCGATTTGATCGCCATCTTGAAATGTCTCCAAATCTCTCTTCTTATCGAAGAACTTCATGGAAGTAACACCTTTGGCAGCAGCCCAAGCTTCAACACGCTGGATTACTTGGTCGGTAACAGGTAGTATGACGACCTTGGGTCGGGAAATCATCTTCTTAGTATTGAGGTTGAGCTCTCCGTGCCCAGTAAGTTGTCCCTTTGTAGGTTCAATGTAAATCGCTTCGATACTTTGGGGTTCCATGGAATTGTTGGAATCCGTTGCAATTGCATGAACATATTGTCCAAGTTCAGCAACCATGTCACTCTTATAGTTGATATTGACATTATCAATGAGTTGCTGCGGACTGAAATGTGATGAGATACTGTATTTCTGGGGAAGACATTCAGTAGCTCAGCGGCTCGACGTCCAAGACATTCAGTGATCACTTTTGGGACCACTTTGTAGGGTAATCGTGCAAGACCTACTCTGACTCTTTCTTTCAGCGTCTCCAGCTGCAGTCTGGTCAATAGTAACACGCCGCAACCCTGAAATGGTACAATGGAAGGGGGATGAAAGCTCTCTTCAGAGTCACCAAAGCCCGTCTGCACTTGGTGCGTGGACATTGCTAGAGTGTCAAACATCATACGCAACACATTCCAAGTAATCGCCATACGCATCATCGCTATCACCGCAACCCAATGGACGACCCAATCAAAACACGACTTTGCGTCATTTGAAATCCACCCTGCGGAGCGGCGCTGGAGAATCAGCAGGTCCCACACCAGGCGTTTAGACAGGGCAAGATCGATTTCTTGATGGTGCTTTCCAGACCTGCACTGTGCATCTACCAAGAGATGATGATCCTCGCCGTAGGCCATGGCCAGGCGGCCCAATTTCTTGTAGTTCGCTTGGGATTCAGAATTCATGAGTTGAATTGTACGCATTTTTGTCAGCCAAAAGTCTCCTGGCTTCTTTTCAATGGCACAATTCATCAGATGCCGCCAGTTGTCAGGGATGAACCCAGTTATCAAGAGTGTGTGGCGGAAGAGAGCGTCGCATTGGGCCACCGTAGGAGAATAGATCCCAGCCTTGTAATGACCGTTATGAAGCCCATGCGGTTCCGAGCCCTTATTCTCTGGATTATGAGACCAGAAGTAAGTATGATCGTCCGGTGACACTTCCATCGGGATCATAGAGTGCCCTTGATGGAAATGGCACTGCTCCAGGAATGACTGAGTGTAAGAATCAATCCCATCCGTTATTGGAAGGCGGCCCTTCAGAAGGGCGTGAGAGTTCCCCTCTGCGTCCGCCCCGGTGAACATTGAATACAAGGGTTTGTCCATGGGAGGAGTTGTTTAAGGTGATCGAGTCTGGTCGTACTGTGCGCAGTTTTCCTGCATTCACCCTTGCTCACCTTGTCTCCGGTCAGTGAGAGTGCGAAGGTCCACTTGTCCGGTATGTAAGTGCTCCTCAACTTGAATCGCTTGCAAACCACCGGTAGATCCTTTTGACTGGGCATGGCGGCGGCATCTCGCCTCCTCGTGTTGCTTCATTTGCCGTAACCTCAAAAAGCGATCTCTAGCCTTGAGCGATGTCCATTGTTTTTTCTTCGATTTCTTCACTTGAATAGTTAAGAACTCCTTGCACCATGTAACCGCGTGGATTTTCTTGGCATGCAACTTCTCGTGCCTGTCATTACGCAATGCCTTCTCCAATTCAACTGTAGTCTTCTTCCAGGCGTCGGGCAACTTAGTCTTCTTCATAAGGCGACGGATTTTCCGCGAGCTGACTCGACATTGCTTCCTTCCCTTCAGCAGTAGCTTCCAGAGAGATTGGCGGTCCCAAAAGTTTTGAATCTGAGGAGACCACGGGACAGCCCCATTTGTAACCCTTTGCCACCTTGCTTCCGCTTTCCGACAAATATCGTACGTCTGTTTGTGCAAGCAGTTATACTGGCGTCCCATTTTCTCAGTCATAATCCCACTGTTTAATGTTAATTGTCTATGAAGCTGCTCCAACCGCAATGGAATGGAGTACGCATCATAACCTTGGTGAACCAGCCGGAGGTAGCGCCAAACGGCCCCAGTATCAAGCATCGTTAATTTGCGAGGCTTATATGGTGTCTTCTCCGGATGATAGCTGCCAACAGACCGTTCCAAATCAATATTGATTCACAGACTGTAGTAACCACCCGCTTTAATCACCACTCCGGAAGTTAGAAAAATCCCATCAATGGGTCTGCCACGTTTGTTGCGATGCTGGATTTGACTTGGATGACGTCGTAGGATTGCTTCCTCCAATCCTACGAAGTCGCTGACGAAAAGAGGAATCCTGGTATGAGGAGACACCCTAATTAGCGTCCACGCCCACGATCACTTCGCACCCTTTGTCGCGCCATTGGGTGATTGCACATAACAGGTCCACCATAAACGCCTCCCTTGGATCACGCTGTCGGCCTTGAGAGCGGAAGAAGCTGCAATGTTGCGCCCATACCGTAGATTCGCCCTTACCCGGGGGGTTTGGCCTGTATGCGGAGACAACTACCAAGTCTTTAGAGAACCGGCTACGTGATACATCGGTAGCCTCATTGACTTGGTTATCTGAGGATGGCATATCAAACTTCTTGCCTTGAAGGCGCACGTGCGCCCACCTTCCCAGCTTAGATGGGTCCCTACCACATGACTTGGCTTGGTGTGCAACCGAATTCAAGACAGTTGCGACGCATCCGCCGAAGTGAGAGCACGACACAATTGGCTGGGCGCGATTCTCGTTGTGTGCCCTCGTCGAATAGTACCCCTTGGGCCCGACTTGCCGCATCCTATCATTCCAGTTATGACCTTCAGTTAGAGAAGGCCAGTGTGTGTTGGTCTCTGCCAACAACGCAATTCCCACTTGTTCATCTTTCAGCCACTGATTAATCTGTAACTGTTTCCGCCCTGTTGACAAGGCTGGTAGGCCATTGACATTTTGGAAAATCAGGCGAGCCGATGCAGGACGGTGGCAAATGTGATCATCACCAAAGAAATTGCTGGCGGAAAGAGAACTTAAAAATTCCTCGACTGATGATACATCATTGTGAGATCGAGTTTTGTAAAGAATTTGTAACCAGCATGACGAGAGACAACTTCATCAATCAATGTCAATGGATATACTTTACGTTTGAGAACCTTGTTCAACTCGCGAAGATCGCTAATCCATCGTGCTCGGCCATCCTTTTAGGAATGATGAATGTAGGCAAAGTCCATTCTGTTGGACCGCATCATTTGAGTACATTGATGGCTTCCAAATGGCAAAGTTCCTTGAGAAAAGCATCTTGATGCTTTACAGGAACAGAGTACGCTTTGGAATGGACAGGAACGGCACCGTTTTTTTACTTCCAAATGGATCTTCTCGTGTTTGTAGTGTTCAAGGTTGCCATCAAAAAACTCTTGTGTATTTTCCAATGCAGTTGCCAAGAGATTTTGTTGTTCAGTCGTCAAATGGACTTGCTTGGATGCAATTTCACGACCAGTGGTTGCCTTGTATTTAGCATCAAGGATGAACGCATCATTGGCGATATCATCATCATCGAGAATGTCCAAATAGCCACGATCCAAAGCAAGAGCCCCGTTGGTATGATTTTGCCAATGAGGTTTGGATTTAATTGAAATGATCTTGTTGATCCATCTCACTTGATGATTTTGAAAATCAATTACAATTCCCAATTCATCCAGAAAGTCGCAACCAAGGATAATGTCATGAGAATTAGGTGCGTCAAACACTGTCACAGTTTTCCCGTAGATTCGCCAATGTCGATCAAATTCTGGAAACAGTCCATCTCGAAGCTCCACAGTTTTGTTAGCATTGAAACTTCCAGATACAGTTGCACAAGGTTTAGCAGTAGTATTAACTTTCACCATTGCGCCTTGTGGAATACTTCTTGCATGAATCATTGTAGTTTTGCCTCCAGAACCAAACAATACTCGTAGTGGTTATACAGAATGTTTTCCGCCAATGTTTCCCCATTGCATCAAAGAATATGACTTGGCATTTTCTTGATGGTGATCCAACTTGGCCACAATTGTCCTCATCTGATTCCTAGTCATCATGTCCTTGGAATCTGACAGTGAGTTCTGGCATATCATCGACATCATTGTCTGCATCTGCCAAGAGCTCTTCTCTTTCGGAGTCATTGATATCATTGAATTGTCCACGTAGGTTGAAATCACGTTCATCTTCATCTTTAGGTTCATAGTCCTGATCAAAGCCTTCTTCTAAGAAACCTTGTTCTGTGTCATCCACTCCTGCAATTTGATCGCCATCTTGAAATGTCTCAAAATCTCTCTTCTTATCAAAGAACTTCATGGAAGTAACACCTTTGGCAGCAGCCCAAGCTTCAACACGCTGGATTACTTGGTCGGTAACGGGTAGTATGACGACCTTGGGTCGAGGTTGAGCACTCGGTGTCCAGTACGTTGTCCCTTTGTAGGTTCAATGTAAATCGCTTCAATACTTTGGGGTTCCATCAAATTGCTGGAATCCGTCCCAATTGCATGGACATATTGTCCAAGTTCAGCAACCATGTCACTCTTGTAGTTGATATTGACATTATCAATGAGTTGCTGCGGACTGAAATGTGATGAGATACTGTCTTTCTGGGGGAAGACATTCAATAGCTCGGCGGCTCGACGTCCAAGACATTCAGTGATCACTTTTGGGACCACTTTGTAGGGTAATCGTGCAAGACCTACTCTGACTCTTTCTTTCAGCGTCCTATTGTTTCGCTCAGCGGTAGGCTCGTGGTCTCCAGCTGCAGTTGGGTCAATAGTAACACCCATGTCGTCTAGCATATCATCCGTGAGAGGAATGAAAGCCCGATCACACTTGATCGTCTTGACCTGAAAGCCTGCCTTGTTGTAGCGGCGGAATATCTTATCCAATGCTTCAAATACAGGGTCAGTCTTCAGGTTCTGCACAGTGGTATCGATGCAGGTGAGAAACTTAGCATTCTCGATCTCCATGTGATCAATACAGACGGTAATAGATCAATTATGTTGATACAATTCCTCTGGTGGACTGAAGAAGTTGTCGAACGTCTTGGTCTTGTTGACTTGCCTTTCAATGTAGAGGCGTCAGGTCCAAAGATTGCTTTGGCATGATTGATTGAGACCAGATTGGATCCCAAACTTCAGACTTTTGGTGCTTGGAGCATTGAGTATGTGCATTGCACTTCTCGCTTCCATTGCAGCCTTGACTTGTCTTGGAGTGAATCCTCCCTTGTTCTTTCGAATGGTTGCCATCTTGGAGGTCATCTCGAGTCCAGCATATCCATTCTGTTTGTTTGAAGAAAGTTCGAAATGGGGTTGATTATTTAAGTTGTTTAACTGGCGACGGTACATCACACTTGTCTCTTTGGCACCTGGTTTGACATTCGCTCCAAGTTGCTCCAACACATACACACCCTTACGAATCACAAATCGCATCTTTCTGTTTCCATCACAATGTACAATAAAAGCATTGTCAGCATCAGTATCCATAATAATGCGGTATCCCGCAGCAATCATCTCGCGCATATCAAGTACATTGGCAATTCCATCTTCATGGTGATAAACTGGAGGTGGAAATCTTCCTAGAAAACCTTCTTCATCGAGAACTCTGCTGCCCGCGTTAGTGTGCATGTCAAGTTCTTTCTCAGCATGACGGAGTCCATGCATGAGCTCACCATTACAAATGGTGGTGTTTGTGCAACCACTGTCCATGATGACATGATTGTACAACCCAAATGGATCTCTTTCCTTTCTGCGGCTTTGAATAAACTGCAGACCTCGATCTGCTTCAGTAGCAAGATCAGGCAAATCTTCATCTTCACTAGCATAGTGCCAGCCGGCTTGAAGCTCAACATTTGTCGTACCAGCAGGACATGGAATAAGATAGACATCATTGCCATTCTCATCCTTTCCCTTGATAGCGCATCGTGAAAGACATTTGACGTATCAAAATATCCAGTTTTCACAGCTTGTTGAAGCCTTTTCGGCCGAGTTGCATTCCACTGAACGCAATCTCACCGTTCGCATTCATAGAATAAGGGACAGTAACAGTGCCGCCACCTTGAGTTGGAATCTGCATGAGTTGCATTCCAGAAGGAACTTGCATCATTTGATTACCTGTAGTATACCTGTAGTACCAGCAAGTCGCAAAGGTGTGTTGACGCTTCCTGCAACGCTTGATGCTCCACTTGTGGATGCTGAAGCTCCAGGAACTATAGCTGGAACAATAGCTGGAACAGTAGTTGCTCCAATCTGATTAAGATTGAGCTTCTTCCCATAGTCGACATATTGATCCTGATTCTTCCATTGGATCTTTGGTAGCAGTCTGTCTGGGCATTTTGGAGACATATGGTCTTCGTTGCCACACACATAACATGCTGCGGTCTTTCCATCCTTCGGTTTCCCCTTTCCTTTACCTTTACCTTTATTAGGTTGGTCTTTCCTTGGTAGAGGTTCGCTCCCGGATTTTTAATCACATCCATGTGAATCTTCAACATATCTTGTGCTTTGCTGACCGTCTTTGGATAATAATCCACTTCTCTGCAATAGTTTGTCAGAAGATCCAGCATCAGAGGAGCTGTTCTTGTTCAATCACAGCTGCACAGAAATCCTGTTGCAAGAACGGCTTCAAAGATATCATCCTTGAACTTGTCTTGAGCAGCAGTATCAATAGCAGCATAAGCTTTTGTCTTGGCTGCAAAATTTCAGAACCAGGCAACGCCATATAGATCTTGTAGGACTTCAGCCTGTCTCAAGAATCGTTCCTTGAAATGCATCAAGTTTTCTCTTTTTCCTTGCTTCATAGCAAAGAACTTTTGATTTGCTTCTCAGAAATCCAAGAAGTCATACTCAGCATCAGCACTCTTCTTCATGAATCGTTCAATACATTTCAAGAGTTTGATAGGATCTTCAAGAGTAGTCGTGATCTTCAAGAGTAGTTGTGAAATTGGCTTCACCTCAAAGCTTGATATCCATTGCCTTCGTAACAAACTTCAGCATGATCTTTGATTTGACGGTTCTCTTGTTTGTCTCAAAGTAGGCTGATCTTCGCATGTTCTCGTCAAGCTTTGCAGAGTAGAGAATCTTGTTTTGGGCCATCTCTGTTTCTCTTGCAACAGCTTCAGTTTGAGTTGGAGCGTTCAATCTTGGAGCGATTGCATTGAAGACTTTCCATCTTGAATTGATTTCACCATGTCTTTGGAACATTTCATTCCAGAAGCTTGGATGTAGTCAATCACTCTTTCTTGATGTATTTTTGTTTTGTTACCTTTTGTGATTGAATGTTAGAATAAAGCAAAATGTGCTCTATCATGAGTGCCTTTAGCGTTCAGAACAAACTCTCTGCAATCTAACTTCGTAATCAACTTTACAACACTTTCACAACAATAGTTCTCCTGTGTCTAGGTATACTTTGAGTGAAATTGTTCCTATTTGATTAATGTTTGGCTTGAATTGATGATTCAATCACAAAATTAAGTTCAACAATTTTCCCTTGGAAAATCCCTTGCTTACAGAACTTGATTCGACCTCTATGACAATTCTGTGTTGGATGCAGTACTTTGGGACATCTTGTATTATTCCCTACTGCATTGTACACAACATCAATATCTCACTTGTATATGGTCATTCTGACAGACTTGCGTCCGGCATACTTGCGTCCGGCATACTTGCGTCGAATCCCGACATCACGATCAAAGTCCGATCGTACGTGTCAAAAACTTTGTACTTGAATAGTTTTTTTGGAACTTAAAAACTCATATTTCGTCATATCCCAACATCTATCGCTATAGCAAGAGTTTCCATAGCAAGAGTTTCCATTTGCTTGACCGCCACAATTAGCAGAACGATGATTGTGAGATCCAGTGCAAGAGCGATGATGGCTTGCACGTCCAGTTCGCTCATGAATTTGTTCCTTTGCAGCATGGGTGTTGTCCATGAGGATCTTAGTAGCTTGAAAGTATTCTTCCATTATTGCCATTGTGATGGAAGGATCTTCAATCCGTCGTTTTTGTTGACAAAGTAGATCTTGTCATTGTTTGGGAAAAGATTCGTAGATAATTGTCTTTTTTGCCAAAACAGAAATATTGTCAGGGTCATCCAGCTTTTGAGATGTTCCTGGAAGCATGTCGTGATAAAAACATAGAAGTTCAAGTTGCCGAACATGTTCAGAAACATCAGTTTTCATAGTCTTTCTGACTGCCGTAGATTTGAGGAATGAGCTTGTGTTGTTCATTGGAGAGTTGCCAGGTGACATCCTGGTAATAAAAGTGTCAACGGAATTCTTGAATTGCGCCACCAAATTACCTGGCGCATTGTTCGATATGATTTACCACTCATGGAGGGCATTGCTGCCAAGATGTTGTTCAAAGAGAGCGAACTTGAGAGCACCCACGGCATTAGTATTGCCTGTGAGACCCCAATGTTTGCAGAGGTTCTTGAAGGAGAGAAACATTGTGCAAAAGGACTCAAGATTCTTGGTCTTGCCAAGATAAAGTGGAACCTTTGCTTTTTGTTCACGATCAGCACCATCTTCACCAAAAGGTAGAAACAATCTCATGGAGAATGTCTTTGCCTTGTTGAACATAGGAAAATGGTGAGTTTGTCTCAAAAGAAGTCATAGTGCTGTATCTTCAATTCTTAAAGTTCAAAGAAACTGAAACAAAGTCAGATGCATAGCAAATGATACAATAGTAGTTTACTGTAACTCTGCAGAGTATATCTCTTCAGTAAAAACCGTTGGCTATTCGAATGATAGTAACCCAACCTTCACAGAAGAGTCTTAGGCACAGAAAGTGCTTGCGTAAGACCTAAGGGTCTAATATAGTCCCCAACCGAAGGAGCTTCTAGAGTCCCAATACCTTGGGTATGTTCTATGGGCCGTTTCAGTCATTTGATGGTCGCAAAGTCATTAAGAAACTTCAAATTTCAAATCATATCAATAGCCAGAATCCTGAAGTTGGGAGTTATATCTCATTGCTAGGGAATCCTTGAGTTATAACTCAAACATGTGAGGTTTTACTCAAACGTGTGAGTTATAACTCAAACGTTTGAGTTATAACTCAAACATGTGAGGTTTTACTCACCAAGCCGAGCTTCCCCTTTTCCAAAACCGTTGCTGGAAATTGGAGCCAGCAGACCAACGACTACTTTTGCCAAAAGATTCAGTACTGAACTGTACTTTTCCAGATCCAAACTCAATAAAAAATCTTGTCACGCAACATCATGACCACCAATGGCTACAAATGCCACCTCTGCAGAATCACAAGGTAAGGGGGAAATGATTTTGATCAATGAAGACATTGAATTTCTCCTCAGAGATATTGAGGAAAAGGAGCTGGATTGCTTGAAGCTGCCCTTCCCCCATTGGAGAACATCATCGCCCTGACATTTTCTGAGTACATTTGAGTTATATCACCTTTGTGTTATATCTGATGCTCATGGGAACTCAGTTCAGGAGTTTGAAGATTCTGTCGATAAATTCATTTGCAAATACACTGGCAAGAATCCAAAGTATCAGGCGAACATGTATCTCTTTGATACTTCCAACCACATTCGCAAGCCATATAATACAGAAATTTGAATTCATGCAAATCGCTTGAAAACCCCATTTATGTATGACGATATGCTTCCTGGAAATTGTTCCAACGTGAAGGATGAGAGCGATCCGGGTCAAATTCGGAAGAGACAGCTGGCACTGTTTCGCTCCTTCCCAATCGATTGGCAGGGAGATTTTATCAATTCGCGAAATGATTAATCGCACAGGCGGTAGTGGTCGTGGGCATGGTCGACCAAGCACTGGTTATCAACCATAACCAAGACCCTTGAACTCTCCAAGATATTCTCAAGGGGATTCACAAAGTTTTCAATGTGGAGGCAATTCCCATCAACAAAACCAAGGACAATTTCAGCCAAGACACCCCAACAATGGTGGCAGAGGCCGTGGATTCAATGGCCAGCACAGTGGGCGCTCCCAATCTGGTTGTTTTCAGCCAGGAAAAAACTATCAAGGCAGAGGCCAATCAAAGCAACAAAACAGTCAAAACTACTATGCTGAGTCGCACTACAATCAAGAAGCTGAAAGCTTTGCTGCGGAAGGGAGCGTTCCTGAATGGAACCAAGACGGAATGTCTTATGGTGGAATGCCAAGTGCCGAGCAGTACCAGCATCAGGAACAGTAATATCAAGCTGAACAAATCAGCAATGGAATGATCGATTTAACTATGAACAAGAAGAAGACTATCCTGAAGAACAGGAGGTGCAGGAACATATGAAGATTCACCATTTTCCTTTCATGAAGAGCATTACTGACCCAAAAATACTCGCAAACTAACAGAGCTTCCTAAGCTTCCTAATCCATTTCTGGAACCTGATTTGTCTTTGTTTCTTTCAGCATTGGAAACATTTGATGATGAAGATGGCCCCATGACTAAAGATAAAAAGCTTTTGAATGATTCTTTGCTTTGTATACCCACGCCAAAACAAGATGTAAATTCTATGGAGGATTCAATGAGAAAAAAGAGACTTTCACCTACATCTTTGGTGATTTGGAAGACAATTGGAGGAATTGAAAGTGGAAAAGTTTTACGAGTATTATTTGATTCAGGACGATCGCATACAATGATCAATGCAAGGGCGATTCCTAAAACTGATAAGGTACAAAGTATTCAAAATGCAAAGAAAAACACTACTGTTGCTGGTGATTTTGTTTCTGACAACTGTGTGAAATTGCGGAACGGAGTCTTTCCCAAATTTGACAAATACCGCAGATTTGCAGGTGTCGACGGTGCCAAGGCAAATGTCTTTGATTTGCCAACATGACGTCATTATTGGATGCGACCTTCTACACAAAATGGGCTTGGATATCCAATTTTCAAACAGACAAGTCAAATGGATAGACAAGTTCATCCCAATGAAGACTCCAGATCATTGGCAAAACCACACCAACTACTCAATGGCATTGGATCGCAATGTTCTGGATATCTACAATGATGATGATACTGATGATGCCTTTATCATGGATTCAAAATATGAAGCTACTTCAGGTGCTGAAGTTGCTGACAAGCAAAAGCATCTAACTGAAGATCAGCGCAAACTTTTGGCTCAAGCGTTGAAGAATACAGACGAGATTTTTGATGGTCAACTCGGCCATTACAAGCATGAGAAGGTTCACTTGGAGCTCATTGAGAATGCGCCACCCATGTTTTCTAAAGCATATTCCATGCCGAAACAACATGACCCTGCATTCCTCAAAGAATTAAAACATCTACAAGAGATTAGAGTCCTTGCCAACATTCATCATTCCAAAGAAGGACGGTAGGGTGCGTTGGATCAGCGAATGCCGACAGCTAAACAAGAATGTCAGGCATAAAGTATACCCCTTGCCTTTGATTGATGATATCATTGCGCCTCGTTCTGGCTACAAGGACTTCACAAAACTTGATCTCACTATGATGTATTATTCTTTTGAGTTGGATGAGCCAAGCAAAAAGCTTTGCACTACCAATACCCAGTACAGTTTGTACCAATACAACTGGATGGCAATGTGATTGAAACTGGCTCCTGACTTTGCCCAGTACTACTGTTGGGATATGACGAAATATGAGTTTTTACGTTCCAAAAAGAAACTATTCCAGTACAAAGTTTTTGACACGTATGATCGGACTTTGATCGTGATGTCGGGATTCGACGCAAGTATGCCGGACGCAAGTATGCCGGACGCAAGTCTGTCAGAATGACCATATACAAGTGAGATATTGATGTTGTGTACAATGCAGTAGGGAATAATACAAGATGTCCCAAAGTACTGCATCCAACACAGAATTGTCATAGAGGTCGAATCAAGTTCTGTAAGCAAGGGATTTTCCAAGGGAAAATTGTTGAACTTAATTTTGTGATTGAATCATCAATTCAAGCCAAATATTAATCAAATAGGAACAATTTCACTCAAAGTATACCTAGACACAGGAGAACTATTGTTGTGAAAGTGTTGTAAAGTCGATTACGAATTTAGATTGCAGAGAGTTTGTTCTGAGCGCTAAAGGCACTCACGATGGAGCACATTTTGCTTTATTCTAACATTCAATCACAAAAGTCAACAAAACAAATTTACGTCAAGAACACACTGCCATATCTACAAAGGAGTGATGCTGCTATTGCTAGCACCAATACTGCTGCTCAAAACAAGTTCAAGGATGATATCTTTGAAGCCGTTCTTGCAACAGGATTTCTGTGCAGCTGTGATTGAACAAGAACAGCTCCTCTGATGCTGGATCTTCTGACAAACTATTGCAGAGAAGTGGATTATTATCCAAAGACGGTCAGCAAAGCACAAGATATGTTGAAGATTCACATGGAAGTGAGTAAAAATCCGGGAGTGAACCTCTACCAACGAAAAGACCAACCTAATAAAGGTAAAGGTAAAGGAAAAGGAAAGGGGAAACCGAAGGATGGAAAGAAGGCGGCATGTTATGTATGTGGCAACGAAGACCATATGTCTCCAAAATGCCCAGACAGACTGCTACCGAAGAATCAGGATCAATATGTCGACTATGGGAAGAAGCTCAATCTTAATCAGATTGGAGCAACTGTCCCAGCTACTGTTCCAGCTATAGTTCCTGGAGCTTCAGTGTCCACAACACACCTTTGCGACTTGCTGGTGCTACAGGTAATCAAATGATGCAAATTCCTTCTGGAATGCAGCTCATGCAGATTCCAACTCAAGGTGACGGCACTGTTACTGTCCCTTATTCTATGAATGCTAACGGTGACATTGCGTTCAGTGGAATGCAACTCAGCCAACAAGGCTTCAGTGGTGCTCAAGTACGCCAAGGATTCGATGCAACTCAAGCTCAAACTCCGCAAGCTGTGAAAACTGGATATTTTGATACGTCAAATGTCTTTCACGATGCGCTATCAAGGGAAAGGATGAGTATGGCAATGATGTCTATCTTATTCCATGTCCTATTGGTACGACAAATGGCAAAATTCAAGCCGACTGGCACTATGCTAGTGAAGATGAAGATTTTGCTACTGAAGCAGATCGAGGTCTGCAGTTTATTCAAAGCCGCAGAAAGCAAAGAGATCCATTTGGGTTGTACGATCATGTCATCATGGACACCATTTGTAATGGTGAGCTTATGCATGGACTCCGTCATGCTGAGAAAGAACTTGATATGCACACTAACGTGGGCAGCAGAGTTCTTGACAAAGAAGGTTTTCTAGGAAGATTTCCACCTCCAGTTTATCACGATGAAGATGGAATTGCAAATGTACTTGCTATGCGCGAGATGATTGCTGCGGGATACCGCATTACCATGGATACTGATGCTGACAATGCTTTTATTGTACACTGTGATGGAAACCAAAAGATGCGATTTGTGAATTGTAAGGGTGTGTATGTGTTGGAGCAACTTGGAGCGAATGTCAAACCAGGTGCCAGAGAGACAAGTGTGATGTACCGTCGCCAGTTAAGCAACTTAAATAATCAACCTCATTTCAAACTTTCTTCAAACAGACAGAATGGATATGCTGGACTCGAGATGACCTCCAAGATGGCAACCGTTCGAAAGAACAAGGAAGGATTCACTCCAAGACAAGTCAAGGCTGCGATGGAAGCGAGAAGTGCAATGCACATACTCAATGCTCCAAGCACCAAAAGTCTGAAGTATGCAATCCGATCTAGTCTCATCAAGAACTGTCCTATCACCGAGGAAGCGATCAACCATGCCAAAGCAATCTCTGGACCTGACGCCTCTACATTGAAAGGCAAGTCAATAAGACCAACTCCAAAGAAGATGTACGACGACTTCTTCAGTCCACCAGAGGAATTATATCAGCACAATCGATCTATTACCGTCTGTATTCATCACATGGAAATCGAGAATGCTAAGTTTCTCACCTGCATTGATACCACTGTGCCTTATCGCTCATGTATTCCCGTGCAGAACCTGAAGACTGACCCTGTATTTGAAGCATTGGATAAGACATTCCGCCGCTACAACAAGGCAGGCTTTCAAGTCAAGATCATCAAGTGTGATCGGGCGTTCATTCCTCTCACGGATGATACGCTAGACGATATGGGTGTTACTATTGACCCGACTGCAGCTGGAGACCACGAGCCTACCGCTGAGCGAAACAATAGGACGCTGAAAGAAAGAGTCAGAGTAGCTCTTGCACGATTACCCTACAAAGTGGTCCCAAAAGTGATCACTGAATGTCTTGGACGTCAAGCGGCCGAGCTATTGAATGTCTTTCCCCAGAAAGGCAGTATCTCATCACATTTCAGTCCGCAGCAACTCATTGATAATGTCAATATCAACTACAAGAGTGACATGGTTGCTGAACTTGGACAATATGTTCATGGAATTGGGACGGATTCCAGCAATTTGATGGAACCCCAAAGTATTGAAGCGATTTACATTGAACCTACGAAGGGACAACATACTGGGCACCGAGTGCTCAACCTCAATACTAAGAAGATGAATTCCCGACCCAAGGTTGTTGTACTACCCGTTAACGATCAAGTAATCCAGCGTGTTGAAGCTTGGGCTGCTGCCAAAGGTGTTACTTCCATGAAGTTCTTTGATAAGAAGAGAGATTTGGAGACATTTCAAGATGGCGATCAAATCGCAGGAGTGGATGACACGGAACAAGGTTACTTAGAAGAAGCCTTTGATCAGGACTATGAACCTGAAGATGAAGATGAACGTGATTTCAATCTATGTGGACAATTCGATGATATCAATGACTCCAAAAGAGAAGAGCTCTTGGCAGATGCAGACAATGATGTTGATGATATGCCAGAACTCACTGTCAGATTCCAAGGAGATGATGACTACGAATCAGACGACGATTTGGGTGATGAAGGCGACAAAGAGGAAGAACCTAATGTGGCCGATCTGGATCACCATCAAGAAAATGTCGATAGAGGAACCGATGATATTGGGAGCCTTGTTACTGATCTGGAGGATCTACAAGAGCCGCCAGAAGAAGAGATTGTATTTGAGCCTGAAATGCCTCAAGTAGCAAAAGTCACTTGAACTGGGCAAACGTATGCGCAAGCTGCAATGTCTGGGCTGAACCTTTCCCAAGTTCCAAAGAGACCAAGAGAATGGCCTTCGAGCAGGAGTGGCAGTTCTGCCAATACGAACAAGAATCGAGTTGCGACAAGACGCAAGCATCGAGAAAGAGAATTGAAACCGTTGAAGAACAAGTTAAAATCTGGTATTCGTACCAAAGAAGGAAGTCACTGTACTAAAGACAGTAAAGCTATCCTTGAAGCAAAGCACATCTATGTTTCCAACAGATTGGGAATGAGATGAAAGCTGATTATGAAGAGCACGATGCTATTCTAATCGCTTGTTGCATGATGCAAATCAAGGCCAAGTTTGATACTGATGAAGGTCTGAACTTCATTCAACAGTATTACATCAATCAAGGACTTAAGAAGTTTGGTGATGATGGAAAGGATGCTGTGGATAAGGAATTGAGACAAATGCTCCTGAGAGATTTTTTTACTCCCGAATTTGTTAAAGATATGACCGCGTCTGAGCGAAAGAAGGCACAATCAGCGATGATGTTACTCACAGAGAAGCAATTCGAAAAGAAAATTAAAGGTCGCCTAGTATTCGGAGGCGATGGAACTCGTGAATGGTTATCGCGAGAGGACACTGCAAGTCCAACTGCTTTGCAGGAAGCAATCACCACTACTTGTGTTATTGATGCACACGAAGGTAGAGATGTAATGACGCTGGACTTGCCTAACACTTTCATTCAAACTTATATGCCTGATGCTAAGGAAGGAGAAGATTGCGTCTACATGAAAATCACTGGCATGATGGTCCAGATATTGATTGACATGGCCCCAGAGTATCGCGAATACGTTGTATTAGAGAACGGAAAGCGAGTAATCTATGTGCGGGTACTACGTGGTATATATGGGATGTTGCAATCAAGCCTCCTATTCTATAATCAGTTTCGAAGTGATTTGGAGGCAAAGGGATTTGTTTTCAACCCGTATGACCTGTGTGTTGATAACAAAGTTGTTAATGAAAAACAGCAAACTATCAGATTTCATGTTGACGATCTTATGTCAAGTCACATGGATCCAAAAGTAAATGACAAATTTGCTGAGTGGTTGAACATGAGATATGGTTCAATCCAGGCATGTAAAATTGTCAGAGGAAAGATACACAGATATCTTGGAATGACTTTGGATTTCTTGGTGAAAGGAAAACTCAAATCCGCATGGACGACTATGTCAACAACATGATGGAAGACTTTCCTGTCAAGTTCAACAAGGATTCAAAGCAGGAAACACCAGCTGGTAACGATTTACTGGAAGCTGGTAAAGGGAAGTTACTCAGTGCTGAGTACCGTCAGATCTTTCATACTATTGTTGCAAGGGGACTTTATGTCTCTAAGAGAGCTCGTTTGGATATCCATCCAACGATTACTATTCTTGCCTCAAGAGTTCAAGAACCTACAGAGTCTGATTGGAAGAAGTGTGTTCACATGATGCAATATTTGTTTTGTACATCGTTGTATTACCTGACACTTTCCGCAGAATCACTCCAAGTCATGAAATGGATGATTGACGCATCATTTGCGGTGCATCCAGATTTCAAGAGCCATACTGGCGGCACTCTGTCCTTTGGAGGAGGTGCAGCTCACGGGCAAATGTCCGTTTGAGTCGGTTTTGCAGGGAATCCGAAAACATGGAATTGTGCGCTTGGACCATCAAACGTCTGAGCGCCACGAAAATCCCATACTGAATCCTACGGGAGTTCGGTACGTGGGTTTTGTACCGGCCTTTCTGGATTGCAAACATCCAGTAAAGGTTTGGGAAACTTGAGTTTTCGTGCAAAGCTTTTGCTTTGCCCATTCCATGTAGATAACAAGTCTTTTGGAATAGTTATTTTCTGTAGAGATGATTATTTCATATTAGACGAGATCGCTATAGTTAGTGCCTCTGCATGACAACTTGATGGGTCACGGCTGGTTGGCAATGATGGCTTCATGGGCCACAAAGTTGAAAATCGGTTTGGAAGACGACAAGCCTGTCACTTGTCTTGTGTCTGCCAGAACCGAAATCCAACTGGTTGACTTGTGAAGGTGTAAAGCCGTGGAAGAAAAAGATTGATGCCATCCTCAAGATGTCAGCGCCTACAAATGTAACAGAATTGCGTGCATCTCTTGGTGCTATTACCTTCTACCGCCACATATGGCCGCGTCAATCTCATCTTCTCAAACCCCTTACAGAGCTCACAGGCAAAGGAATGTTTGAATGGACAAATGAATGTGCAAAAGCTTTCGCTGAAATGAAAGCTCTCATAGCTAGCGACATATTGATGCGCTACCCCAATCCAAACAAACCCTTTGAAATCTATACTGATGCGTCTGACCACCAGATGGGCGCTGTGATCATGCAAGAAGGTAAACCAGTCGCCTACTGGAGTTGTAAGCTCAATGTTGTCCAACACAATTACTCTGTCATGGTAAAAGAAATGTTGGCTGTTGTACATTTTTTGAAAGAGTTTCGGTCTATGATATATGGTCCCAAATTAATTATTTTTACTGATCATAAAAATTTCACCATGCAAACCATGCAAACGTTGAACACACAACGAGTTCTTTGTTGGCATATGTTTGTTGAAGACTTTGGCCCCGATTTTGTCTATTTGCCTGGAAAAGATAACACGATTGCCAACTGCTTCTCTTGGCTTCCGCGAATGGAGAAGCCGTCTGAAGGGAAGAGTCCAAATGAGGGTAAATTGTTTGCGTTTGATAAATTACAGGTTTCTGTTGGTCCCGACGGCAAAATCTACGCATTTGAAGATAATGTTCTTGTAAAAGAAAAAGGTTTGATTACGCCACCAGCAGAAGCCGAGTTCAACAGTACCCTTCGATGTCAGTTCTCCTGTTGCCAAGATGGAGATACTCATGAACACCTGACCATTGACGACATCAAAATGGAAGAGTCCTTTTTGAATCATCCTCCTCTACAAGCAATGCCGAACCCAATCACAATGCCAAAAATTCAACAACATCAAACTCAAGATCAATTGCTCATGCAACGAGCTCAACGCGATGCACAGCACTACCAGATCACAACAATTGACGAGCGACTCATCATCACCTATCAAATTGATCCTGCATGTCAAGACGATTGGAGAATTTAATTGCCTTTGAGTTTGGTTGATGATGTGATCACCTGGTATCACCTTGTGCTTGGACACAGAGGAAAAATGTGAATGTATGCTACAATTGCAAAGTAACAAATTGAACGATTCAATTGTTAAATTTGCCAACTCAATAAAGCAGCAAATGTTCAATACGGACAATTACCTGAATGACACACGGATTTGGTTCCATAGTTCTCCGTTGCGGTTGATTTGATTGGTCCATGGAAAATTGACTTGTATTAATCCCGTGACAAATCTCCCTGAACTTGCTTTTATCCAGAATAAAACTGCAACACACGTAGCAAGCGTGTTCAAAATGCTGTGGTTGTCGCAATATCCGAGACCATACAAATGTATTCACAATCAAGGAGGTGAATTCATTGGCAAAGCCTTCCATGCAAAACTTGCTACTTGGGGAATCCATGATGGCGGAACCACTAGCAAGAATGCGACCGCAAATGCGATCTGTGAAAGAATGCATTTGACAGTGGCAAACATTTTGTGCACCAGATACAACAATGCTTTCAAGTTGCTGTTGAAGAAGTCAAGCAAGCTCTTGCTGCTTGTAACCATGCAATGAGATGTGCTGTATCGACAGCTTTGATGAACAATACTCCTGGTGAGACATGCTACTAAACATTCCTGTATTTGTCCACCTATTTTCTATGCAGAAAAAGTGACAGTACAAGATCAATGAAAACTTGAGGAGACAGAACGCGAAGCAAAAAGAATTTGATTACAGAATTGATGGAGAAGTTTTGATCAAGAATACTGATGGAAGAAAGTTGGATCCGAAGTACAGAGTGTTGGAATTGCTCTCTTGGAGACCATTGGAAACTCCTTGATCAAAGCAGCTCAACACGTCCGATCGGACAGACGGACAAATGTCCGTTTGGTCCGTTTATTTGGGGGATTCTAGGTCTCCACAGTCCCACATAGACAACTTTGCTCAGATCAGAATACTGTGAGGATGTAGTGGTTTGTCCGAGTCGATGTCCTAAAGCTATTTTGAAAGGTCGAACACTATTTGATGAAGTTCCAGAGGTCGAAACTAGGATCATGGCGTCCAATGAGATGTTGGAAAAAATATGCACACCTTGTCGTTCCGGAGGGAGTGTTAACTCAAGTTTTCTGCAAAACTATTCAAAATTTATTTTTATTTATAGCCTCAATGTCACGTTTTATAACAATCAATGTCCTATCAATTTTAAACTACTTATTGTCCAACGGAAATGCAACCAATTGTTAATAGGCAAACATGATCTGAAACTGAAAACACATTCCTCACATCAAAATCCCGCGGGAACGATTTCAAACAATGTGTGGGTCCAAACCAAACTTTAATATGTTGTTACACCGCGGGAGCGATTTCAAATCAATGCCAACGCTGGTTCACAAGGGACGGATGCAAAGCTCATCCTCTTTCACCACGCAATCCATCATCCCGCAGCAGCAGCATGAGGCAATTGAAAAGAAGGAAGAAGGTTGCGAATGAAATGGAAATTGGCGATGGAAGTGAGGATGATGATCATGGAGTAGGCAACAATGAACTCCATTACAATGATGATGATGATGATGATGATGTTGAGGATACATCGTCTATGCATGATGAGCCAAGTGAAGAGCAGCGCAATGATGAAAACACTACAGAAAGAAGCAATGATGAATCTGGACACAAAAGCAATTTTCTAGATATTTCTTTCTTCAAACTCCCATGTCTACAACAGGCCAAGCTTGAATTGCCACAGAGCCCATGTGACGTTCTGGCGGGTAGCTTCATTGCTCTCAAACATACCTTATTGAAGCCTCACTGATTTCAGTTGTTCTACCGTGAAACTGAAGAGAGCAAGGCTTATGAAGATATTGGAATTTTCCACGAGTTGCTTGGGTTGAGCCAAAAGGAGTGCTTGGACGTTCTTGTTGCTTCAGGACTTGTAACACCGAACAAGAACTGTCAAATGAAAGCAAAGAAAGCCATATTCGAAAGAATTCGAGGTATCGTGGAAGGTGGCTTTGATTTTGAAATAAACACCAACATCAAGGGTTTTTTTTGCAAGCACTCTTTTGTTTTGATTGGTCCACCAACAGAAAAGATACCATCGCTGAGTAATCTGCCACGTGGATGAGCAAATGAAATTCTTTCTCGGAGCAGTTGCAAGTCTGTGTGTTCAGGTCCCCGATGTTGCTTTTGAGACGATCACATTTACAGCTGCCATTGTCTTTGCAAACAACCTAAAGCTTCACTTATAGACTTGGGTTGTCCGCAAAAATCCATTATGAACCACATTCAAATCTTGAGAATGATGCCGAGTCAAACAACATGCACCAGATATACACGACGCTTTGCAGCTCACAATGTCATCTTTCAAGGTGCCCTGATGGTGGGGGCCACTGCACTTTTTCTTGGAGCAGACAAAGGCGGCGGCAGTCTGGTGAAGAAAGTCTACCTTTGGTTTCAGGGGCTAATTTACGATGTGGATCTTGATTTTGACGGTTCTGGAGAGGATGCAGCATCAGGTGGAGATGCTTGCTATCATTTGTTCTTAAAGTTTGTCTTTGGCGGCAATAAGCATAGCCAGCTGAAGGGCATTGTCAAGGGTGGAGGAAGCAATAGCGGTGGTGGTTTCACAAACGGGAAAATGAAGGAAGAGCTTGTGAGAAAGGGCTTGGCTAACGAGAATGAATACATTCACTGCCCATGCACCTTGCACAATGACCAGACCAATCTTCGAAATGCTACTGAAAGCATCTTTGGTGAAGGTGGAATTGAGAAAAGGAATGCTATGCAACTATTGCATGCGCTATCGGACTTCCAAAACGATTTTTCTGACAAAGACCTATACTTAGATCTGCTAGAAGCTGCACATCATGATAAATTTCCTTCCATTGATGCAGGAGCCAATTGCAACAAGGTGGAAGACAATTGGAATGGCTGCCAGGTACATTCACAAGCATTTTGCTGCCCTTGTCCACTTTGTCAGGGCCATTTGCGACGTCGAGAGAACCCATTTGTACAGGAATAAATGCGGAAGCAACTTCCTTTCCTTCGCAAACGAGCCTGTGATCAAATGCGATTTGGCACTCTTGGCTGGTTTTGATAAGATCTACTTCAACCATCAAATGGAATTCAATCATACCACTGACAAGAAGCGGTTTCCTAGCTCCACATCACCCTGTACGATACTTCTTGAAGGTGAGCGAGTTGCAGGAGTTGGAAGAGGAGGTTGAAAAAGGAACACTGTATATCAATCAAACCCCCAAAAGTGCAAAGCTTCCTTCCTTCTGGCAAGCGATGAAGGAGTGTGAAGGCTTGGTGGAAATCGAAGCTCAGATTGATCGTGTCAGAAAGTTTCTTGAGGTGTATAAAGGCTCCCTTCACAAGCACAACAAGCACTTTTGTAACGAGCTCTTGTTTCTTGGATGCTTTGGTGAACAACCAAGAGCAACAATTGTTGCAAAATATCTGATAATATCGAGCTTAGGAAATGATCCCTCTGTTGAAGATTTAATGGAAGGACAAAAAAGGAAGTCGTTCAAGTCTACCATGCACAACGATAAAACAATTGAACCAACGTTGCTTCTGCTGTCAAATCTGCACTGAAATCAGAAGATCAACTTGTACGACTGTTGTATTATGCCGCATGCGCAAGTGTCGCGCATAAAAGTTGTCTACATGGGACTGTGGAGACCTAGATTCCTATTAGTCGTTTTTTGCAGGGAATCTGAAAACATGGAATTGTGGGCTTGGACTATCAAACGTCTGAGCGCCACGAAAATCCCATACTGAATCCTACGGGAGTTCGGTACGTGGGTTTTGTACCGGCCTTTCTGGATTGCAAACATCCAGTAAAGGTTTGGGAAATTTGAGTTTTTGTGCAAAGCTTTTGCTTTGCCCATTCCATGTAGATAACAAGTCTTTTGGAATAGTTATTTTCTGTAGAGATGATTATTTCATATTAGACGAGATCGCTATAGTTAGTGCCTCTGCATGACAACTTGATGGGTCACGGCTGGTTGGCAATGATGGCTTCATGGGCCACAAAGTTGTAAATCGGTTTGGACAACGACAAGCCTGTCGCTTGTCTTATGTCCGCCAGAACCGAAATCCAACTGGTTGACTCGTGAAGGTGTAAAGCCGTGGAAGAAAAAGATTGATGCCATCCTCAAGATGTCAGCGCCTACAAATGTAACAGAATTGCGTGCATCTCTTGGTGCTGTTACCTCCTATCGCCACATGTGGCCGCGTCAATCTCATCTTCTCAGACCCCTTACAGAGCTCACAGGCAAAGGAATGTTTGAATGGACAAATGAATGTGCAAAAGCTTTTGCTGAAATGAAAGCTCTCATGGCTAGCGACATATTGATGCGCTACCCCAATCCAAACAAACCCTTTGAAATCTATACTGATGTGTCTGACCACCAGATGGGCGCTGTGATCATGCAAGAAGGTAAACCAGTCGCCTACTGGAGTCGTAAGCTCAATGCTGCCCAACACAATTACTCTGTCATGGTAAAAGAAATGTTGGCTGTTGTACATTGTTTGAAAGAGTTTCGGTCTATGATATATGGTCCCAAATTAACTATTTTTACTGATCATAAAAATTTCACCATGCAAACCATGCAAACGTTGAACACACAACGAGTTCTTTGTTGGCATATGTTTGTTGAAGAATTTGGCCCCGATTTTGTCTATTTGCCTGGAAAAGATATTGCGATTGCCGACTGCTTCTCTTGGCTTCCGCAAATGGAGAAGCCGTCTGAAGGGAAGAGTCCAAATGAGGGCAAATTGATTGCGTTTGATAAATTACAGGTTTCTGTTGATCCCAAAGGCAAAATCTACGCGTTTGAAGATAATGTTCCCGTAAAAGAAAAAGGTTTGATTACGCCACCAACAGAAGCCGAGTTCAACAGTACCCTTCGATGTCAGTTCTCCTGTTGCCAAGATGGAGATACTCATGAACACCTGACCATTGACGGCATCAAAATGGAAGAGTCCTTTTTGAATCATCCTCCTCTACAAACAATGCCGAACCCAATCACAATGCCAAACATTCAACAACATCAAACTCAAGATCAGTTGCTCATGCAACGAGCTCAACGCGATGCACAGCACTACCAGATCACAACAATTGACGATTGACGAGCGACTCATCATTGTTAGAATAAAGCAAAATGTGCTCTATTGTGAGTACCTTTAGCGCTCAGAACAAACTCTCTGCAATCTAAATTCGTAATCGACTGTACAACACTTTCACGACAATAGTTCTCCTGTGTCTAGGTATACTTTGAGTGAAATTGTTCCTATTTGATT